CTCTCACTCATTTTCTCTATAAGGAAAATGGGGAAAAAATCAGACTGGTCAGGCAGTCCTTAAACCATCAGTTAGCAGTGATTTGAACATCCTAGGTTTACCAGCCACCCCACTTTGCTAGTGGAGAAGGCCTGCCCAACCGTACACACATGAAACCTAGAAAGGTATACATTTGAAGCCAGGTATAGTGTCGTTTCTGGACAACCAATGCTACATAGTGAGACCCCTTCTGGAAACAAGGCAAAACCAACAACAACAAAACCCCAGAAAGCTGCATGTTTGGTCATGTGATACCTGGCTCTGGTACTTTTCTTTTAGCCCTGCAGAATTAGTTCTAAATTAGCTTACATAGTGGGCTGGAGAGATGGCTCAGTGGCTAAGAGGACTGACTGTTCTTCCAGAGGTCCTGGGTTTCACTTCCCAGCACCCACGTGACAGTTCACAACTGTAACTCTAGTTCCAGGGCACTGCCACCCATGGCAAAACACTAATGCATATAAAATAAAATAATTAAAAATTAAAGAAAATAGTTTACATAGCTCTATCAGTGACTTGTCACTGGCATATTAGACTTTTTCAAGTAATTCTCTGCAATAGGAATTCTTTAGGAGATCAAAAGTTTCTTATCCTTAAGTTGTTGAACTGTTTTCTGGTGTTAAACACTAGAGGTTTGAACTAGAGGTTTTGAAAACACTTTGTTTCGACAGGTGTTGGTGGCACACCCCTTTAATCCCAGCACTTGGGAGGCAGCATGGCTGGTCTCTGTGAGTTTGAGGCCAGCCTGGTCTACAGAGAGAGAGAGATCCAGGACAGGCATCAAAACTGCATAGAGAAACCCTGTCTCAAAAAACCAAACACACACACACACACACACACACACACACACACACACACACACACACACGACCAACACTTTGTTTCTGTAAGTTTTTCAAAGGCATTATAGTATTATTTACAGTGATCACTACTGGGGGAATATTTCACAGTATAAAGCAGTTGGACAGATGTAGGTTCTGACCTTCCTCTTTTCTTCCCAATTTTAATCCTCCTCTTCTTTCAGCTATCTTTGTTTTTTCACCTCCAACATTTATTTTGTGTGTATGTGAGTGCTGTAGCACCACATGGACGTCAAAGGACAACTTGAGGAAGATGGTCCTTTCCTTTTCCCGTGTGGGTGCCTACTGAGCCATCTCACCCCCACCCCTTTTCTCTCTTCTCTTTTCTTTCCTTTTCCTTTGTTTCTAAAACAGGGTTTCATGTAGCCCAGCCTGGCAAACTATTTTATCCAGAGCTGACATTGACCTCATCCTCCTGCCTCCACCTCACACATGGTAAAATTATGACTTCAACTCTTAGAGCTTCTAACTTTTGGTGTGTTGTGTGTGGTATTGTGCCAAAGCAAACTTGGAGTTATGAAACTATTAGGGAGTGCTCAGTTTCATTTCAGAGATTTCACACTACCCACTTAATTACTGGTCCTCCTTTAGCATTTTTAATATCCTTATTCAAGACAGATTTGTTGGCAATCAGAAGGAACAATCACCATTAGAAACTCCAGAGAAATGGAGTATCAGTGTTTAAAAAATAAGTAAATAAAAGTAATAAATGTGACTATTACTGTTATTTTCCAAACCTCTTTAGCTTTCTCTTCTGTATTTATCATCAAACCCTTATGTATATGCTATAGGCTATGGCATGGAGTATGAGGAGCTATGGATAACTTAGGAAGCTTTGAAGAGAATAATAATGAAAATTATGGGTTAGACTGGGACTACAGAATGCTTTCTTCATTCCCACAGGAGATTAAAACTTCAGATCCATATGAGGATTTCAGTTGGCTTTTCTCAAAACTTGATTTTCTCCTCCTCCTCTTCCTTTCTTGTTTGTTTTGTTTTGAGACAGGGTTTCTCTGTGTAGACCTGGCTGTCCTGGAACTCACTCTGTAGACCAGGTTGGCCTTGAGCTCAGAGATCCACCTGCCTTTGCCTCCTGAGTGCTGGGATTAAAGGTGTGCCCCACCACTGCCCAGCTAAAACAGTTTGTTTTTTCTGTTTTTGAGACAGGGTTTCTCTGAGTAACAGCCCTGGCTGTCCTGGAACTCACTTTGTAGACCAGGCTGGCCTCTGTGTCCCGTCTGTCCCTGTCCTGTGTCTCCTCACCCCACAAAGTGCTGGGATTAAAGGTGTGTGCCACCTTCATTGCTGCCCAGCTCAAAACTTAATTTTCTAAATTAGAACTTGTGATAGTCTGTGCTGTAATCTAGGAAAATTTTGCTCCAAATATCTTTTGTAAAGATGTTATAAATATGTGCCAGAAAGCCTGTCAACCCAACATATACCTTAACACACTGAAACAATTAAACCAGATGAAAACATTTACAGATAAACAGCTAACCTGGACAGCAAGTATGACTTTATTATTTCTAATTAGTTTCGTGTCTGTGTGTGTTTTCAGTTTCGAAAATGTCTACAGAAGGAGGGTTTGGCGGTACCAGCAGCAGTGATGCCCAGCAAAGCCTCCAGTCCTTCTGGCCCAGAGTCATGGAAGAAATCCGAAACTTAACAGTGGTAAGGAGGAGCAATGAGCTTCTAAAGCAGATCAGCAGAAGCAAAACACAAACCTTTTATTTTCAAACATGTTTACAAAGGCATAGTGCATTTCTGACCTTTAAGTTGGGGGATGAAAGTAGAATTTCCCTTGGACAAGGCAATACCAGGCTATTGTTTGTAACTAAGTAGTTGTTTGGATACACTACTTGGAGGCAGACTAATGTGAAACTGGTACTTGAGGAAGTGCAGAGAGGCAGAGGTTGCACCCTCCTGTAGTAGTTAGCCTGTTTCTTTAGCCTAATTCATTGGCCGTACCAGCTTTTTATAATTTAATGAAAACTGTTGGGCAGCTTATTTAGCAGATGTGTTGTGAGCCAGCACTCTGCAGGTGTTAAAAGATACACTTAGCTGGGCAGTGGTGGCACATGCCTTTAATCCTAGTACTTGGAGGCAGAGGCAGGCGAATCTCTGAGTTCGAGGCCAGCTTGGTCTACAAAGAGTTCCAGGAAAGGTGCAAAGCTACACAGAGAAACCCTGTCTCAAAAAACCAAAAAACAAACAAACAAACAAACGATACACTTAGATCAGGCTTTCTCAGTAGCAGCAGCATTATGATGTTCTCAGGGGCTGTCCTATGCATTTCAGGTTGTTTAGCAGCATCCTGGCCTTTACTCATTAACAGTCAGTAGCAGTTTTCCCCTACTTGTGAAAACAACAAAATACTTTCATAGACTGGCAAATATGTTCCTTTGAGCTAAAATCATCTCCTGTTGATAACTGTGAACTTAGAAAAAAAAAAATCACATGCAACCCCATCTTTGAGGAGCTTACAGTCTTCTAATTACAACTAGAGTGAATTAGTCAATAGATATTTACTCAGTATTTATGGACACAGTCACAGTGGTGAGTTCTGAAGCAATAAAAGGGAACATGCCCTGAAGACAGTGTAGTACCAGTTTTCTCTGGTTGAGCTAGAAAAGGCTTTAAATGACAGCATATAGAGATGCTGAGATAGCTCAGCAGGTAAAGTGCTTGCTACCAACCTGATGATTTGAGCTTTAATAAAACTTAAGAAACAAAAAAGAAAAAACAAAACAAACAAACAAAAAAACGGCATGTTTATTTTTATTGAGTCTTGAAAGGTGAATGAGCATTAGCCACATGGACAGGATGGTGTAAACAGAGGCTTTTCTCTGTCCTGCCATGTTCCACAGCCACTTCTAAATAACCATTCAAAGGCTTATATTATAAATGATGGGCTGGTAGCTCAGGCTTATTACTAACTAGCTTTTACCCTTAAATTAACCCATAATTCTTATCTATGTTTAACCACGTGGCTTTGCACCTTTTCTCAGTACAGCATCCTATCTTGCTTTCTCTGTGTCTGGCTGGTGACTCCTGACTCTGCCCTTCCCCTTCTCAGAATTCTCAGTTTGAATTTCTCACCTAATTTCCTGCCCAGCTACTGGCCTGTCAGCTTTTTATTAACAATGAGAGCAATGCACATTTACAGGGTACAAAGATTGTTCCACAGCAGGATGGGAAAATAGTTCTATTCTAGACAGCAAAAAGAGCATGTGCAAAGGCTTGCAGTCCCAGGGGAAAGAGCCTTGTGTTAGAGGAATAGACCTTCAGTATGGTAAACGTTGGGGGTAGGAATGTAGTGTGTGGTTCAGGGATAGTAAAGGAGAAAGGCGGGATAAAACAGAAGTATTTTCAGAATACATTGTCATGTTCCTATTAAAGAGCATTCAGTTTGGTGTCTTAGCAAGTACTGAAGGAACTCCCTGTGTCTTTTGCCATTGCTGCCTTGGAGGTATTAGCACGCTGGCAGAGCAGACCCTGGATTTTTTTCCTGATAATAGAAGCTAATGTCTTTGGTTTAGTGGTATACTAAACCAGTAAACCTAAATTTGGTATACTCGCCAGGTGGTGGTGGCAGCGGCGGCGCATGCCTTTAATCCCAGCACTTGGGAGGCAGAGCCAGGCAGATCTCTGTGAGTTTGAGGCCAGCCCAGCCTACAGAGCAAGGTCCAGGACAGGCACCAAAACTACACAGAAACCTTGTCTCAAAAAAACAAAAAAAAAAAAAAAGTTTGGTATACTCTGGTAAACAAGATTGATTTGTTTGTTTACTCAACACATTCTTAATTTTTCATCTACTTTGGCCTGTGCTATCCTCTGTGGCTCTAGTAGTATGCTGACATGTCCTCATGGAAAATGTGTTCTCTCAAGGCAGACTATAAATAAGTAACAAATTAAACTAACTTCTAACTGTGATAAATACCCACTGACATTGGGGTAATTAATGTTCTGAATGGACCACTGGGTGGTGTTCGTTTACACAAAAGGGTGATTGGGCTTGGCTGAGCCTTTTCTGGGTGGCTGTGGGCAGAGTGGATTTCCAGTGAGAAGACATGTTTCTTTCCAGTGATCCCAAGGGTTGGTAATCCGTGCTGTTTCAGACAGAGGACAAAGGGGCTGGCAGTGAAGTTACAAAGTCAGAAGTGGGCTGTTTTACTCAGATTTTTGGAAGATAATCTTTATTAGGATTTTCTCTTTTAGGTTTTTGTTTTGTTTTGTGTGGGTTGTTTTTGTTGTTATTGTTGTTGTTTTCCCCCGAGAGAGGTTTCACTGTATAACCCTGGCTGTTCTAGAACTCACTCTGTAGACCAGGCTGGCCTGGAACTCATAGAGATCCACCTGCCTCTGAGTGCTGAGATGAAAGGCATGTGCCACCATCGCCTGGTTAGTCAGAGTTTTCTAAAAGTACAAGTACACGTGCATGATTGGCTTACAGGACAACCCAGATAGTCCACCAATGAGTGTCTTACACGGGAGAAGCCAAGGATATGACATTGCTCAGCCAGGCCCAATCTGGTGCTGAAGGCTTAGAGAGGATTCTTGGAGGGCTGCTGGTCTCCAGTCGTTGTTGGAATCCTGAAGAAGTGGGTTCTAATATCAGAAAAGGAACGCTGCAGTAAGGCATGAGGACTTGCCTTCGACAGGGCGGGCAAACAGACAAAGCAAACAGTTCTTTCTCCATGTGCTTTTATGAAGGCTGCCACCAGGTGCCACTCAGATTTAGGATGGGTCTGCCCACTTCAAATAATCTGATCAAGAAAATCCTTCACAGGAGTGCCCCAGCAGTTTGTGTTTTAATTGATTTCAAATACAGTAAAGTTGATAGCCAAGATTAGCCATCATATAATCTAATGGTTACATTTATTTGATTTTAAATGCTTACTTGATTTGGGCCAAACTGGTGCAATATGTACCCTTCTGGTTCAAGTTTTGTAGGTAAAGAGAAAGAATTATAAGAAGAAAGTATTGTTCTTCCATTGACTTAACTAAACTTTTCTTCCTGTATATCTCTGAAAGATTCCTTAGACCTCTACTGTAGCATCTGCTTAGGAGAGTGACTGACATATAATAGCTGCATGATGAATGACTGAATGATTCAGACTCCACTCCAGACTAAGGGCAGAGCGACGCCAGTTCCAAGTGTCCATGAGAGAATGAGGTTGGGGTGTTTGTTCTTTCTAAGAGCAGGCCTGTGGTAGTCTCAAGCCTGCAGCACACGAAGGCCTCCACTTCTCTGACATACATCTGCCTGTGCAGCGTTTTAGCACTTAATTTGGGAACTTGGTGCTGCTTAAAAATCAGACTTTTGAGGGAAGGGAGTTGACAAGGTCTTGCTCTACAGCCCTGACCAGTCTAGAATATACTGTTTAGACCAGGCTAGCCTTGAGTTTCAGCATTCCTCCTTTGCCTGCCTGCCTGCCAAGGGCTGAAATTACAGAAGTGTACCACCACACCCAGATTGATAACAGACTTTCCCAGATTGTCTTATCCTCTTAGCTGATACTTCAAAACATGAAACAGATTTTAAAAAGTCTGTTATGCTTAAATTATCTAAGTATAAGTAAAACAAGAATATTTGTAAAAGTGGTGTGGGATTCAGGTATTATATTTCATGATGTACTGAACATACCTGTTCTCAGTTGTTTTAGTCTGAATCAAGTAATAGCAATTTATCCTCCATCTCAATTTGACCATCCTGCTCCCACACTCTTTTTTTTTTTTTTTTT